AGAGAGAGAGAAGAGAGAGAGAGAGAGAGAGAGAGAGAGAGAGAGAGGAAGTGAGTTGAGTGACATAGAGAAGAAAAAAGAGGGAGAAAAAGAGAGAGAGAGAACGAAAAGGGAGAGGGAGAGGAAGTGAATGAGTTTAAGAAATATAGATAGAGAGGAAGTGAGTGTGAATGTGAGAGAGAAAGAAGAAGAAAGGGAGCGAAAAAGAGAAAGAGAATATGAAAGGGAGGAGAGAGAGAGAAGGAGGGAATAAGTGTATGTGAGAGAGGGAGTGAATGAGTGTAAAAATGTAGATAGAGAGGAAGTGATTGTAAGTGTGAGAGAGAGAAGAAAAAGAGAACGAAAGGGAGAGAATGAGAAGGAGGGAATGAGTGTGTGTAAGAGAGGNGAGAGAGAGAGAGAGAGAGAGAGAGAGAGAGAGAGAGAGAGAGATAGAGAAGGACAGATAGGCAGAGAAGAGGAAGTTGAGGAAGAAATAGAAAGTGTTGAAGGTCAATTAATTCGTAGTGCTATCCAAGCAATCCATCTTCCTTTTGGATCCGATTCATAGCTTGCTTGAATTCTTCTAAATTTCTAGTTTCAGAAAAATTGTAAATCTATGTAATAATATGCAAGTTAGATTAAAATAGTATACTTTGTGGTGGCCAGTAAGTCTTTAAACAATACGCTAATATGCAGGTCGGAAAATGTTTTACGCTCGATAAAACATCACGTTAAATTGCCCGTAACAGTCTCTACTTTATTATATAACAGGCGTTTATTTATTATTTATTACTATTCGTTTTTCGAATCTAAGTCAAACTACGTACAATTAAAACATTTTATGAACTGTTAAATAGCAAATTATTTTTTATTAAAGTTTTCCTCATTCATCGTTGTCATTGAGGTGTTGACTTTTTGGCCCATTTGGTTGCAGAAGACAAATGTAAAACCGAGGTTTATAAATGTCAAACAAAAAGTATGTCCCAGTTTCGTTAAATTACTTAACACTTTTCAAAACTTACATCACTCAAAGTTCAAAAAAGGACAGGTGACAAAAAAAAATATAGCATATATATTATTTTGTAAGATTGATTATAAAAGTGCTTAACAGCCATGAAAGGTGATTTGACCAGCTTTCTACCTACCCAGTGTAACAAAACTATGGCCAAGCTAACAGAACGTTTCATTCAATTATGCATATGGTATGCGAGCGTGGACGTGTAATGTAAAAAAAAATTCAGAATTTATATGTCCTGGTTTTACCAGAAATTCCAATCGATTTCGTTTATGATCTGGCCAGTTTTTCCCTTAAGATGTCAACATATCTGGCATTTCACCATACATGAGCGTTTTCAATGTTCAACTGCAGAGTTGCTAGCTAATAATGTCAAATTGCGTCCTCCCGGGCTGCAGATGATTTCATCACAAAAACTGAAAACGAAAGTAATGTTTACCTATCAATTAAGAGGAGTGAACAGAGAGCGCAATGTGGTGATACATCACAATCGTTAAACTACGTGTGTGTGTGTGTGATTTAAAAAAAAATTATTTTGTAAGGTTCTCCATATGTTTAAAAAATACGTTAATTAAAAGCAACATTGCGAATTAATTCCGTTCTTACGGAAAGATAGACAAGCACAGACACAAATTGGGAAAATTTTCGGAGTATTTTTCCTCAAGAAAAATAATGTCTAAAAATGTTGATTCTGTTAGGTTTTTCTTTGATATCGCATAATAGAACTGATCAAATCGTTTCTCAACTATTTCTATTAGGAAAACAAAAGAAAACTTAATCTATTATTCATCATGCATGAAAATATTAACCTAATTCGTCTCTAACCCTAACCTAACCATACCAAATGTAACCCATGTCAGCAAAGAAACATCCATGTTAAATTCAATCATTAAAACCACCTATAAATTTGATACTATCGTAAAAAGGTGGAAAAATTATCTGCAAACTCTGGGCCCTTTTTTCTCCACTTTAAAAAAATCTTAGAAGTAAAAAAAAAGTTTTGGTGGTGCTTTCCTTTATTTTGAGTAATTTCTTTCACAAAAGCGTGAGGAAATCAAGGATTCGTCGGAACTTTATTTTATTTTTTTTTTTAATAATAGAACTGTCAGCGATTGAAACAGAGGGAAAGAGAGCAAAAAAGAGGGAGGGGAGAGAGAGTGAGTGTGAGTGAGAATGAGAGTGAGAGGGGGAGGGAGATCTACTGAACGATTTATATATTGATCAAATTATATAGCAAGATTTGGTGTTAAGGACCACTCTTAAATCTAACGTTTGTGTGTGTGTGTGTGTGTGTGTGTGTGTGTGTGTGTGTGTGTTGTGTGAGACAGACAGACAGACAGAGAGAGAGAGAGAGAGAGAGAGTGAGAGAGAGAATACAAAAAGAATATAATAAGCAGAAAAATGAAGGTTGTGAACAATAGGCCAAGAAAAAAGGGAGAAATATGAAACGTGAGAGTCAAGTGGCAAGAAAGAAAACAATGATAGGTAGATCTAAAGTTAAATGTCCAAGTAAAATACGCAGATAAAGATTGTTTGAGAATGAGTGAAGGAAAGAAGGAGTTTGATTGATTGATTGATCGCTTTATTTAGTCACGCAAATTTTTATTGGACCTTTCTATCACTTAACGTGAAAGAGAGAGAAGAAACAAAGGGGATTTAAAAGAAATACATAATATGAGAGAAGCATAGATATTTAAATAAATCTATCTACACAGACATATGTATATATAGAGTGAAAGGTAGATAAATCTATTGATAAGGAAATGTGGGCGTATGAAGTGGAACAATTATTTTCCTCCTGAAGACTAGCAAAACCTTTACACAGAATAATCCTCATAAACTAATCGATTCACGCAATATTTTCGAGAAATACGTAGAAAGGAAAAATGAGTCATTAAATATAGAAATAAACTGGGTCACGGGTATGTAGAGACGTCATAAAAATTTAATGGGCTCAATCGAAGATGTTGAAATCTTAGAGCCCGACAATCGAGGGATTTAAAAGGATTATCGTTCTCTGGCTAAGCCATCGGTTACGTATTCGAGACTGCGTCTGGAAGGGTTACGTATTACAAAACTGGGATAATGCCCTTGGCCTTGCCTTGTCATTGCCCAAAAAGTCTATGGTATTTGATTACAGCAACTTCATAATAAATTTACAAAAATATTACATTACAAAAATATTATTTATAATTATTGTAAATAGTAATTCATTCGATAATTCAGATGTAAGTTGACCACAAGAGTTTTCTGCATCGGCAACGCTTTTCAGGTCAACCAAGATGAAAGGGGTATCAGGAAAATCCTCTATTATTCAAGGAGTAAAGCCCAGTTTTTGGCCTGCGTCTTGAAATGAGGATCAATACAGAATATACATGAACTATAAACTATAAGCCCAGGTACAGCAATCCTAACTTTACGAGATCTGGAAAACCGATAAACATATCTTACCAACACAAACCTAAGAGACTTGACAGTCCCTGTAGGTAATAGCACGCAGAAGCATGAAGACTCGCGCATTAGTATTTACCCTGAAGGCAGAAAAATCGAAGTTGTTGGATGTCATTTCGTAGTATTTATAGATACAAACTGGGTTCAACTAATATAACAGTTTTAAATCTAAATTCATGGGATGGTTCTCAAACAATCAAGCTGAGCTCCCAGCGATTTTAAAAGCTCTGGTTTGGACAACAATCAAGGATTCATACATCAGTTCTAAAAGTGGAACCATATGGACAGATAGTCAAGCAACAATTAAGATGCTCAACAACATTAAATGTCATCTTGAATTGGTTGAAACAATAAGAAATGCTCTATTCGACCTTAATAAGCAGAGGAAATATGTAAACAATGTTTGTAAATCCCAGGCCCTGAAGATGATCTCAATAAAGATCGAAACGTTGGCACGATAAAGAAAATGTTTTTCTGAAACCTACATCATACCAGACCGCATCTCACGATTTCTATATAAATATCGATTAACGGTCACTAATCACCACACATTAATAAGCAGAAATGGAAAGTTTCAATGAGCTGGGTGCAGGCACACGCAGAATACCCTGGAAATGACCGACGGATTGGCAAAAAGTCCGACCACTGATTCCTTGATTCAGAATCCCATAAAATTTCAATATCGTATACCATAAGCTAAGGACTGAAGCCGTGACCGAGTGGGAATTGCTGTGTGGAAAAATTAGTTAACGAAGCCACACACGAAGAAATTTTTCCCGACTGTATCAGGTTATCATCATCACTAGTTAATTCATTCAAAAATAACCAAGTTTAAAGTCAGATACAAGTCCTACTTGAAGAGATATCGCATAAAGGCAGATGACCTCTGCAGCTGGACCATAAAACTACCGCACACACGGAAGCACTTAATTTTTAAATGTCCGGTCTTCGAAAGTGAAACATTCATCCTAGAAAGGAAAATAGTTTGGGAAGGAAGAAATTGGCCGACAACACTAGAAATGCTAATTACCTTTGTCTTTACTATGACTATGTATGAACTTTGTTTTAATAATATATGATATTATAAAAGTAGCTTATATGAGCAATTAATTCTGCTTTCTTTAATAAATCGATATCTGCCTAGAAAATAAAATTATAAGAACTGTATACATTGTAATTTTGTAAATGCTAAGTGCCAGTAGTTACATTGTGGGAACTGGCTGAATGTACAGCACATAAGCTGTAAGTAAACTGTGATAGTTGTATTTTTTTTAAATCTATTCGTAAACATATGCAAAATTCCGTGTCGGTTTTACCTATCGGTTCAAGTATTTTATGCAAAATTGCTATTAGTAGGACAAACTTTTTGACCTGGTGAAAATTTTAATGTCATCCTGAAACATGTTTACTCAAAACTAATGTAAAAATTTCTTTGCACCTTGGCGAGATAACTGAATCCTCTTGTAGAACGATAACGCGATGTTCCTGTAGTTTATTGTTTATGTTAATGTTGTTTTTTGTCATTATTGGATTGATGATTGATTTAACTCACCGATATGTGTTTAGAGCTGCGGCTCGCGTCTGTCCAGAGTAACAAGTAAAAGACTCGTGGTCCGCCGTCGCATATATCTTCTGCTGCCGCAATCGGCACCCCCTCCTCGGGCCTTCATCAATCGTCGCTCTTTTGCCACGGTTTTTAACCGCCCCACCACGATTTTTATGAATTATGTCAGTCTTTTTTGTCGGATAAAACGCCTTTTTGTCACTGTTTGTCACCTGTGAGGGCCGATTGTAGCTGTAACACGGTGGCCGGCATAACTTTTCGACAATCGGCTTGCGCAAACGTTCGATTTCCAATGGGCTTTTTCATACGACGTTATGGTTTTAGCATTCAGAAGAATGAAAGTCAGATGAGGTTGGATTTTAATCCATGCACAATCGATGTTCCTTTACCGGGCCACTTCCGCCTCTCCCAGCTAGATCGGAAAATTGTTCGCAACGCCTGTTTTCCTATTCAATTTCAGCTCAGAATGCATACACTCTGTAATTCTTTTTCCAGCAGATCTTAGATCAAACGATAGTTCATCAAATACTTGATGACATAAAATGAAACTTTATTGCGTTTACAAATCTATTGCAAGGGTTGGCCTATTTACAGCATACGCGTTTATACAACAGAAACCTACCTGATGTACTTAATTAAACAGAAAATTAAATTAATTTGAAGAAAATATAGCAGAAATAAAAGCCGAAGTTAAAAGAAAACGTTCAGCGAGGACAACGTTCTTACGAGTGACTTGTCTCGTTTTGCTGGACTTGTGATGATGGAAATGGTCCACGTTTGTAACAAAACTGGAATCACGATTCTTTTTCATTTATTTTTCCATATATTATTTGGCGTTCACTATTACTTTTAGTGGCAGGAATATTCTCCATTCTAAATTGTCTCCTTTGTACTTTCTATCGTTGCAGTGTTTTTCCTTTATTTTTTGTTCTTCATTATTACATTCACTGACCAGAATTTTCTCCATGCTTTGCTTATTCACCTTTCTATTTCCTCATTTGTTCTATACTATATTTGTAGTACTTTTTGTTGTACTTATTGTTTTGTTCTTCTCTAATACTTTAAGTAACCAGAATTTTCCCTTCGCTTTTCTTACTCTCCTTTCTATTTCCTTATCTATACTAATGGTGTTTTTCATTTAAAGCATGGTTTTTTTAGAATTGCCTTATTTAATTTTTTTTATTTATTTATATTTTTTGTGTTTATATATTATTATTATTATTTTGGAAGGCCAAATGTATGCAAAAATCCCATTTTAAATTACATATAAAATTTATTTCTGTTTCTTTTTTGATTAGAATTGTGAATTTTTGTTCCATAAATTAACCAATTCCCATAGGCTTGTATGGCTAATAATAATAATNAAAAAGTAAATACATGACTTATTTACATTACATTTCTACTTAATTATCATGTAAATAAGTAATGTATTTATTTTTTGTTTTTAAAAAAGTTTTCTAACATAAACCAAAAATGATCTACCAAACAAAAGCCGGCACAGCCACTTACTTGGTCTGTCTCCACTCAAAATGCCTTAACTTGTTTGAGTCATTCGACAAACCCTTGCTTGATTGAAGACAGACTCAACAAATTACCTTTGCGGGTTTAGCATCTATTATTTTATAGCTTACCAAAATCAATTTTGACAAGAGAACTTAGAATTTGGAAGTTAATTTGTTTTTTAATGAGTTGTCTGCATACTCGCAAGGCGTGCTTACATTTATGTTGGAAATGCACAAAAATCTAATTGTAGAGTTATAAACTTGATATAAAAACTTAGAACTACCCATCTACTATAAACCAAAAAGTTATTTGATTTAGTTAAAAGTTATTTTTTGTATTTATTATTTTGTACATTTATACATTTTATTGACCAGAATTTTCTACACTCTTTGTTTATTCCCCTTTCTATTTCTTTATTTTTTCTATGCCATCTTTACAGTACGTTTCCTTTATTTTTGTACTTCATTATTCCTTTTATTGACTAGAATTCTACATTTCATTTATTCTCCATTTTATTTGCTCTATAACTACTATCATTGCAGTAATTTTTCTTTACTTTTTATTTTGTTCGTTATTCTTTTAGAAGCCAGAATTTTCTCCATGATTTATTTATTCTCCTTTCTATTTCTTTATTTGTTCTTCACTTTATTTTAATACTTTTCCTTTTTGTGTTCTCATAATTTTGTTTATTATTATTATTTTTAATGACTAGAATATTCTCCACCATACTTATTCTATTTCTCTTTTTTTCTCTATACTATCTTAACAGTAATTTCCTTTATTTTTTTACTTCAATATTAATTAATGGCCACAATTTTCTACAGGTTTATTTATTCTTAACTTTAAATTATATTTTATTTGCTCTATACCTACTATTTTTATAGTACTTTGTCTCTATTTTTTGTACTTTTTATTTTGTTTGTTATTACTTTTAGAAGCCAGAATTTTTTCCTCAAGTTTTGCTCAATATCCTTTCTATTTCCTTATTATTCTATATTGTATTTTTTGTAATTTTTCTTTATTTTTGTACCCTTTGTTTTCTTCTTCATTAATACATTTAGTGGCCAGAAGTAACATAAAAGGTGGTAAAAGTAAAAGAGAGAGAGAGAGAGAGAAAAGGTAACTAGGTAAGAAAGGGAGAGTGAGTGAGTGAGAGTGTGTGTTTTGCTGAAAAAGAAAGAAGTGTGACAGACCGAATAAAAAAGGTAAAAATAAGGAGATATAAAGAGGTAAAAAGAGAAAAAACATATAGCATTGAAAAGAAAGAGAGGGGATTAGAGGAAGCCATACCTGCCAAGGTATAACAATAGAAAAAAAAGAAATATGAATAAAGTAAACAACAGAATCCAAAGTAATATAAAAGAGAGAACTAAATTGCCCAAAACTGAACAATATTGAGTTTCACCTATCTTTGTACTCTGTTTTTCTTTTAATTATACACATCTGTACAGTACTCTTCTCCTTTTTACCCAATGATGAACGTTAATTTTATTTTTTACACTCACAATTGTTGCATAATAATAAGGGTTTGGAATATATAATAAATTGAGATAAAAATATAAGAAAGAAAAGAGGTTGTTGAGGAGGGGAGCAAATTGAGCAACATTTTATAAGAGTTATCTGCAGAAAACTTTCTCTGATCATAAAAGAAAATGTACAATAGGTGTTCAAATTACCCTGTATTCAATTTTTACTAATGACAAAAGAAAAAGCGAATAGAAATTTTAGAAATATATTACCGTTACATTGCCTCAAGTCAAATCCCACAATATAAATTGAAAAATCAACTGAAATGTGGTCATTATACACAATAAACTTAATAAATATTAATTTCAATGGATTTTATTTCTTTTAAAACTAAAATTGACTCATTAAGTCACGTTTTAATGACTTTTTAACAATTAATTCTACATCTTTGAACTTGTACATTTTAATGTTTTTATTTTTACTCCGTTTAATTTCCCTCTTTGTAGAATAAAATTAATTGGAAATACAAACCACTTTTTTTAATAGTCTGATGGCAACTAAGCTACCACCATCAGGTTCAACATCTTTTATCACCATAAAATTAACCAACACTAAGAAAACACAGATTGCTTGTTTAAAATTGTATTATTAAATAAAATAATAAACCAAAAATTGATATATTTATGCCTTCTTTGTTTCTAATCAAGAGTAAAAAAACAATTCGTTCAACGAAAATAATTAAGAAAGATAACATGAAATTCATACAACTTTTAATAAATCGTAATTATTAATAAAATAATACATAGAAACGCGACTTCAGCGGAAGAATTGTCCTCTATGAGATTCCGGAATATTAATGGTTCAACTGTTCGCAGCTCACTTCTTTCAGAAATAAAAAATTCACCTGTCTTATAACAATATTATTTTTTTCTAAATTTTTAGTGTTTAACAATCCCACATTTTTCTTAAGAATCCCATATATAAGCGTGACACCAAAAAATATATTTTTTAATAACCAAACAAAGGGTCCGCTTATATTTTCAAAATAGGTTTGCCATAGTACCAGAATCCTAATAATTCTTAAAAATTAAGTCGAGGAAAAACAATAACAATCCTTGTTACCAAATGTTTTTATATTAAATGTACAAACAAGATACAATTAACGGTTAGACTTGGCAACACGTTCCAACTCGTCTTTTTTCTTGATTGCGTATGAATTTGATGAACCCTAAAAAGAAAAATGTATAATTTCAATTAAACAACGAGAACTGTAAATAAAGTACCTTTGCAGCATTGATAAGTTCATCTGCTAAGCATTCAGCAATAGTTTTAATATTCCTGAAAGCTGCTTCCCTGGCTCCAGTGCAGAGCAGCCAGATAGCCTAAAATGTTAGAAAAAATTCTTATTTTAATTAATTACTATAAACACTAAAATCGATTAATAAGAGATGTATGAAATTAACCTGATTGACTCTACGAAGCGGTGAAACGTCCACAGCTTGCCTCCTAACAGTACCGGCTCTTCCAATTCGAGTAGAATCTTCCCTAGGTCCTGAGAGTGTGATGGCAAGCACTAACACCTGAAGTGGGTTTTCACCCGTGAGAAGATGTACTATTTCAAAAGCGTGTTTCACTATTCTGATTGCCATGAGCTTCTTGGCATTGTTACGCCCGTGCATCATAAGAGAGTTGGTCAACCTCTCGACAATCGGGCACTGAGCCTTACGGAACCTCTTAGCCGCATACCGTCCAGCAGAGTGAGGAAGATATTTGGCGTTTTTCTCTTTAACTGCAATATAATCCTAAAAAATATTTTTAAAATATGTATTAACCAAATCAAATATTGAAATTCTTTAGAATATGAAATTTACATTGAGTACGATACATATAGTACACATGCTGTGGATATACATATAGATTTGAATTTTAAAATTAATAGTTCACTAGTTTAACTAATTTGATTCATTTAGCAACTAGTTTGTGATTGTGAATTAAAACAACATTATAAGTAATTATTTAAAAATTTGGAGGGAAAATTAGGAACGCAGTCGCCATCGCTCCTAAGCTGGAAGAATGCAATTCCTTGGCCTCATACAGAGTGCGCTGGAAAACCTCCCGATTTGTGAAATGTGCTTGAGCATAGCAACAAGTATTTGGGTCCCCTATTACGATTCTTTGAGGAAACGGGGTTATTCTGTATGTACTCATTAACGTGAATGTGTGATGTGAGAAGGTCAATGGGGTACTCAATATTCCCATTATGTATAAATTAGGTTAGTTGTATAATTTATGTAAAGGGTGATGGAGGAATATCAAGTAACGTAATAAGTTCACTAACCTAATTGAGTGAAGAGTATGTAAACAGGAGAGTATATTTATGAATACATACATGTGTGCATTTGAGCCTATATAAATCCTAATACAAACATTGCATTTACTTGATATTTATTACTTACTATGTATTAAATTTATTTGTTATAATTACAAATAATTATACACAATTATAAAACGATTACTTCATACATATTTATAAATAAAATATGTTTTAAAAGAATATCATTAAATTAAATAAAATCTGAATTTGTGGTAAAAAAGTTACAATTATTTACAAAATACTTATAGACAAAATACTTACATATTTACTATTTATTCATGATCAATAAAACACTATTCCCAACTAAAATAACAAGGGAGAAAAATGCCAAAATGATGAACTAAGACATTCTTTTGATGTGATGTGCATGTAAAAATGTATTTTTGAGAAAGAAAAAGATTTATCATGAAGAGAAATGTAGTTTACAATATGATAAAAAAAACTTACCTATTATGAGGAAGTTTAATATTTTTTTAAAAATTGTGAACAAAAATAGATCAAATTTAAAAAGGATCTTCACAATAATAATGCCAAAACAATACTGGAGAAATGTGAAACTGACTCGATTCAGGGGGGAAAAAAATTCTACGAGCTTCAAAAAGCAGGGGTTTTTTAGAAGAGGCACATCACTATGGAACGACTTCCAAATATGGAGAAGGGTCTGTTATGTCATTCCAGAACAACTAAATAAAGCTTGTAATTTGAGATGTTTAGTGACTATTAGTTAATGATTATTTGGAGATCATGAGGTGCAGGTGTGATGTGGGTTTTGAAAACCACATCTTTACCATGCCAATGTTTCAATCTTTATTGAAATCATCTTCACGCCCTGGGATTTATGAACATTGTTTAAATTATACAAATACATGTAGGATGTGGGAAAAAAATGAATTTATACAATGCTAGAACTTAGTAATAAAATAAATAACTAAGTATTTGTATTCACTCAAAGTGTTTGCTGTGTAGTCAATCAAGTATACTTTGATTGAGTCTAAAACTTCTAGCATTGTATAAATTCATTTTTTTTCCCATTCTACATGTATTTGTATAATTTAAACAATGTTTAAAAAACAGGCCCTGAAGATGATCTCGATAAAGATCAAAACGTTGGCACGATAAAGAAAATGTTTTCTAAACCTACGCCACACCAGACCGCATCTCACTATCTCCAAATAATCAATAATGTATAATTTGATCTTAACTTATATTTCTTATATGCATATTCTCGCAAATATAGTCTACAGGTAAACTTCATTATTTTCAGTAATGTATTTGTATTCAAAGTTGTACAAATCCACCACTGAAAATGGTGGTAAGCGTAAAGCAGACTTAACCAATGAAAATGAAGATCGGATGTTCAAACAGCTAGATCAACTCACAGTCCTTAACAAAACATTCACAACTTAAATAAAACACCAGACCGCATCTCACGATTTCTGAATAATTATCGATTAACGGTCACTAATCACCACACACCTAAATAAAACATTGGGCATTATATTATAACCAAAAAACTACTTTCACAGATCACATTGCTCACTTTGATCCAGTTTATAATAAGATTGAATAATTTAAAATTGATATAAAAAATATTTTTAAAAAAAATTTATCATTACCTGGAGGGACATATCGACCACGTGAACTTCTTCGCAGCTCCATTTCCCAAAGAGTTTAATTTCTGGAAGTTCGGCAGACGGGGCGTTCTGAACGGATTCGGCCCCGTCTGTCACCATCACGGCGTCGTCGCCCCAGTTTTCTTCGGTCATTTTGTAAACACTGTCAAAAAAGAAAATAAAGTTTAAAATGCAAAAACTTTATTAAATTTTTTTTCCTGTCGAAATAAATATTACAGGGCAAATACAGCATTTACAAACACGTTGGATAGGTTAAGAAGGCGAGCCACGTGTTATTCGTTTCTAGTACCTTTACAAGACCCAATCCTCGGTCGTGGAAACGTAATAAAAATTATATGATTAACGTAATATTGCGAATATTAAATATTTTAAAAGAGAACGTATTGAAAAACCAAAAATTGTTACTTACAATCGTAAAGATCCCAACGAGGAGAAATCCGGAAAGAGAACCCGACACTGACAATCCGGCACTGGGCAAAACTTACAGTGTCGCTCTCAGTCGCGTTCTCAACAAAATATCTCTTAATCAATTAGATTTTAAATCAAAATTAAGCTTTATTGGCTTGAATTTTAATTTAAATATTATAATAATAATGATAATAAAGGTACTTTATTTGTTATAATCCAATAATGTACAATAAAATTACAGCTACTAAATAAGTACCATAGCGGCACGGAAAATTCTGTTTGCCGGAGGGGAATGAAAATATAAACAGGGTTACAAAGTGCAGAATAATATAAAATGCAATTTTGAAAGAAGTTACTCTGGCAAAAAAATCCTTATAAGATCGGATAGGCAAGCAGCTTGGCGTGCAAAAAAAATCACATCAAAATTAGTCACTGACAATTAATTAAGGTTTTTAGTTGAGATGAAAAAAAGTTAATGCTCGAGAGGGATTCGAACCCACTACCTTCGGCTAGATACGCCGCTGCTCTACCACCTGAGCTATCGTGACCTCGATCCACTCTACCACAGAAGGTCGTGGGTTCGAATCCCTCTCGTGCCATTAACTTTTTTTCATCTCAACTAAAAACCTTAATTAATTGTAATGTTTAATTGGTCAAGCGGACCACGAAATTAGTGAATTAGTCACTGAATTCATCCAAAATCTCCGAAACCTGAGGAAACACTACAACCTGATTATGTCTTGGATGCTAAGGCACAAAGGAATTTTGGGTAAAGAAAAAGCAAGCACACTGGCCAGAAGAGGATCTGCAAGACCAAACATAGGCCCCCAGACTTGGGATAACAAAAACAAATACAGAATCCTCCACTACAGAATGCATCCAAATAAAACAAAAGGAGGTGGATAAACTCTAGAGGCGCTAGACACAGTAAACTTATGGTAAAACAGCCCTTACCAAGACTGGCAAACTCACTGTCGCAGTTGGAGAGGAGAGTGTGATGAGGAGTGATACGACTAATAACTGGTCATTGTCGTCTTACAAAACTACTACACAACATGGACATATAAAACGATGATCCCATTTGCAGATTATGTAATGAGGAGGAAGAAACAGCCAACCATATCATTTTCGATACCAACGGTTAAAGGAGCCATAACCTAGCATACGGAAAAAACCTAGAGAATGAAATTGTAACAGCAACAGTCAATGCCCTAATACTTCTGAAAAGAAAAATTGAGTCAATCGCACTGAACTAGGGAACTAGGAAGATACAGTAAGCCAGAAGGCTGTAGTGCCTATGGAGCACAAACCCTGCATCCCAGTATCCTCATAATCATCATCACGTAAAATGTGAATTGAAAAAAATAAAAACTTCCAAAGAACTTAAAATTAAAGAGAAAGAAGAAAACCATAAACTAAAAATGGGAAAAAATAAAATAAGAACTATAATAAAGAAAGCAAATTGAAATTAAATTATACAAACACTAAATATTCATTTCATTGACATAAATATTATCATGCATGCCTTCACAATCTTACAAGTGAAGTTGGCTCATGGTTTAACTATGCTAATTAATTGGTCTTTAGAAAGGGAACCGCAGCTTAGGTGGGGCAGTCGGATTTCATTTAAGATTGTACGTTGTGCAATGAAATGGAACTCATCCTCTCTGGCCTTAGAGTTACATAAAGTATAGAATAAATAGAGCTCCTCCACCCTGATTTAATCCAAGAAGTTCACATCTTATTTTAAACACTCACTATAGGTCACTCAGATTTGCATAATGATTAGACTCAGACAGGGTCTCAGTGAGAAACTGAATGATCAAGATCCCTGCATAACAAAATGGCAGCATATGCATGCCAGAGCAAGCCTCACAGACTCCTATCGATGATGAGTATTCATTCTTGTAAGGAGAGAGTCAAAACTAGCATTCCATTTGGGTTTATTATTAACATTTAAGTTACGAGATATGTAATATTTGAAAAATAGTGCAATCCAATGGGAGAACTAGAAAGTGTTCTGTTTTATTACCTCTAGAGCAGTTATTTTAGGGAGTTGAGGGATTTTCAGGATTTACTTAAAGTGAAGCCTCATTGAAGATATGATCAGTAGGTACATGGATGTTTGTTTCTAAGTGTGTAAAGCTAAACAAATAAAACCAAACGAAAAACAAGCTATAATACAAAGCATAATAATTTCAGTATGGATTTAGCAATTTATAATCTCATAATACATAAAATAAATTTTTCTGGGGCTCAACTTTTTAAAAATTTAATTTCCTTTTATTCCTCAACATACTAACATTTAAAGCATAATCTTCCTTTTATTCTTTTGAATTTTAAAGTTAAGTATGCATTAATTCCTATCCAGTGTTTAGCAGGGCTCTGTAAGGATCAGTCCTGAGACCAATTCTATTCTTCCTATCAGCGATATAAATGACAAAATTCATTGTGAAATCAGTCTTTTGCACCTAGTACTGATTCTTTGACTGCATTCATTGAACTGACAGGTTGCTACTTTGGGGTCTTAATTTAACCCTGACAAGTGCTTTATTCTCCATCTGAAGAAAAAAAAACCTCATTTAACCTACAAAATTGATGGTAGTTCTTTGGCTTCAATCATTCAAAAAGACTTGCGGAATAAACATGTCCTGGGCATCATAAAAAAAGGAAGCTTTCTTGCATACCAAGTTAAAAGCACTTTTCCGTCACTAAAATACTTTATGAAAATTATGTTAGCTATGTTTGACCCATACTAGAGGTTACAAGTATTATTTGGAGACCCTACTTTCAAAAAGACATTGAATTTGTAGAAAAAATTCAAAGATATTTTACACAAAAATTAAAGCCACACAGCTATGTTTACCAACTTAAATTCTTAAATTTAACAACTCTCCAAAATTGAGAGTAAGGCAAACTCTTTTAAAAAAAGTTCGAGTTACCTGTCAACTTGACCTGCCTATACTCGCTGATTTTGTCAATGAGACGCGTTGCTGCATTTTGTCATCTTCAATGTTGCATTTGCATGATTTCTTGTTAATAACTTAGCAAACCGAGATGATAGACAACGAAAAAACTATAGGCTCATCACCCTGCAAACCACAGGAGGAAATTTCACAATTTAAAATACAAATGTTACACATATCTAATATAAGTGATGAAAACAGGCCAAGCTAGTATGGAGAAAATACTACTAACTTACAAGTAAAACCATGCACTACACAAGAAGGGAAACCCTCAGTGGGCTAAAGCACAAATAGAAAAACAACATTCGGTACTCTATTACAAATACTTAAATGGATGCGCAAGATATTCAATGTCAAAGAAAAATTACTGGCCAATTTTAATGTAATATTTTAGACGCTAATGTTTTAAATATCTGCTTGGCTATCTGATCATTTTAGGATTATTTTGTCATTGTGACCTCTTTTAAGAAAAGTGGAAATAATAATGCATCAGTTATAAAATAAATATATAAATTGGAACTCCCTGGTATATTATAAATATAGAAGAGCTCTTGAAGTGTTTCCACACCCCGATATTTACATTATACAATCGACACCACTTTATTTCAATTGTATAAGGTTAATAATTGAGTTGTAATTTGACAATCGTGTTGAACAATTGTTTGACATGTATGTGGTTGCAACTATATACGTTAAGTAAGTTATTAAGATTCATCATTAAAATGATATAAAAATGGTCAAAATATAAACAGTGCTCTATAAAAGAATATGTTCCAAGTTGTACGAAATTTATAAAAAGGAAAGTGATAAAACAGACAATTTCAATGAACTTTAATTATTTTGTATTTTTTCAACCCCATCAATTTGGCATTATAATTAATGGTTAAAGTGTTATTTAAGTTTGTTATTTACATAAAGAGCAACTCCAAAAAATGTTTGTTCAGTCAAACTTTTAGAATAGAAAATTGTTAATTGTTTTATCATTTTTAGATCATAGGTTCTTTCAAGAAAATTAAGTCTTGTCATTTAGTTAGTGTAACTAGTACCAGGTGAAGTCCAGCTACCAATTTTTTTAAATGTTCTTATTGTATTTAACCATATTGATAAAGGATGAAATTTATTTCTCCAATATCAAGAGCACACCATAAGTGGCCCTCAGAGAATCTGACTTGTAGAGAGTGGTCATCATCACCAGATTAAGGATAGGCCATGCGACGTTGACAGGCCGACACCTACTTTTGAGCCAAAGCCCACAAAGTTCGGTTTGTAGAGAAAGGATTAATTGAAGGGTACCATTCTTTGGCTCCATATAGTGGGTGTGTAGGAACTGATATGTGTGATGTGTGCAAGAATTGTGCTTGAGCATGGCAGAGGGTATTTAGGTCCCAAATTCCGATTCTTAGAGTAAACATGGTTATTTTATTGTATATATTACAGATATTGTTGTGCATTCTAGTGTAAGTTGAGAATGAATGTATTTATTAGCTTGAATAGTGGGAGAAGGTTGATGGCGGAATATTGAGTACCCTATCAACCCTCAATTAGGATAGTTATATAATAGGGGTAAAGGGTGATGGAGGAATACGCCACCATTCTAATGGTATGTAAACAAGAAAGAATATATTAAAAAGTGAGAGTTGGATTTGGTTTTAGGAACTGATTGCTTTGGAGGCTGGAATGACCTAGCCAGTTGATAGCCCCTGCAGTCCAACTCTGGTCTGGACAGATAAGACTCAAACTGCCAAAACCCGTGGTGGGTCTTGAGACCTGCCTGTAATTCAATAATAAATAAACTAAAAACTAAAGCTCGAATTGCTGGTTAGGCTGCAAGAAGTGATATGTTCACTTGCACATGTATATATCTTCATGTGCATATTTGAGCTTATATAAATGAATAATATCATGTATCATCAGTACGTTCACTAAGCAAGTTTCTAAATTGGACACGGGCAATCTAAAAAGCTTCTTGAAAGGTTATAAAAGAAAAAAAATCAGATTACATAAGAAGAAATAAGAAGCAGTATTTTTACTGGGTTTTTGATGGTGATGCAAGCTCAATGGACATGAAAACAATTGGCATCAAAGAACAAAGGATGTACAGATGTAAGTCAGAGTTACGCATCACCCTGCTTATAACCCTAACAGAGAGTCAGAAATCTGACTATGGCCTACTTTGCTCGATGTTAGTTTATGAATATGTTATATGTCATATTTGATAAGTAAAATTACCATTAACATTTACAAAAAATCAAAAATCGCTCCTTTAAAATGCTTAGCTACATCATCTGAAGTACCTACCAGTTCAAAAATCCTTCTTGCTATGTCCATGTTCCCACAATTCACTTATTTGACCTATATTATATGCTTCAATCACTGGAATCCACACTACTACACTGACATAAAACTTCTTCAAACTGTTCAAAATAAATTACTTCATACATTATATATCAAATTAAACTGTTTCAATGGTAAATCCTCTCACGCTCCTTTCAAATCTTACTTCAATATTTCTGATCTTAGCTACAGAAGAAAGTATTTTGAGATTATTTTTATTTTCAAATTAATTAATAAATGTATATATTCCCCAGAAATCTGTAGTAAACTCCAATTTTATGTACCACCTTGCTACCTCAGAAATCAGAAAATATTTTTTATTGAATAGAACAAGTTTTTCACTACATTCCCAGATGAATTGCATGATGATGGAATGTCTCAACATATGACATTCTTCTATTTCCTCATTAAAACATCAGTTACTTAAAGCATAATAATTTTATTTAATAACAAAAATGTACTAATTATTTAGTTACAATGCTTTATTACATTATTTTTATATATTTGTTTTGTATAATTCCTAGTCGTTATAATTTTATAGACAGGGGGTTAATTAATCTATGTTGTTTTATTTATGAGGAATTTATTGTCTTTTTCATTGATGCATAGTGTTTTATTCTTTATTAATATTGAGTTAGTTATAAGTATTGTATTTTTTTTTTCTCCTTACTTTTGTGTTTTTTTTTTTTTTTTTTGTTTTTTTTTTTTTTAAATGGGCTTGTGACCTGTAAAAAATAAAAATAAAATAAATAAATAAAAATGCGTATAATGGTACAAAGGCACTTCTGCTTGAGCCTCTTTTTCCGAAAAATCACTCTCTCCAACTTGAAATCTAATAAAGGAGTCAACGGGTTCCACTCTTTCATCTTGGACAAAACCTGACATGTTATGAAGCTTCACAGGCAGATCTTGCTCTTCTCGCTCAATTCAGCAAAGTGCATTCTGACAACACTCCATAAAAGAGATTGAACGTTTACAATGAGAAGAAATCAAACAAGCCTGCACTAATTGCCAAATCCAGCATCTCTTCGAAGTTAAGACTTGAGACGGTGAAACAGACATGAAAAAATGTAAAACAACATCAATAATCTTTAAATGATAAAGTCTCAGTTAATTATTTTAGACAAGACAATCCAGGAGTTGATTTCATTCAGTACATTGATCTAAGCTGCTTTTGAACTGAATCCAAATAACATTTTGTTATTTTTGTAATTAATTAAATAATAAAGTGTTATGAAGCAACAAATGTTTTACTTTGAATCCAAATGAAAGATTCTGCCATAATTGGGTAAAATAAAAAAAAATGATATTTTATAATATTGATGGGTAGATGTTCTTGTTTTGTTTTGCAGGACATGGGCACTCAATATCACACACATTAGTAAAGCAGAATATAATGAGTTCATATTTTGTTTTGATAAAAGTCATCTCAGATTGAAAAGAGAAAACAGGAAGAAACTGTTGAATAGGTTTCATGGCAGAGCAGTTAACACTCAACGGACATGTGACGAAGATGAATGGAAAAAACCCAGCACATTTTCTAATAATATGCAGTGCTACAGAACTCTGCAGCAAATAATATTTTTGAACCTACAAAACAACCTTGAAAGAAATAACCATTGCAATAATACAAGTAATAATTAGATTAATTAGAACTGTTTATTGTAAGAATTCATAGAACAGGAATTGCAATCGATATTGAGGATACAGCACAAGTTATTATAATAGTTTATTTGCATTTAAATATTTAAAAAAATCAATTGTTTAAATTTGATATAAAGAATTGATTTAATTCTTTCTTGTCAATAAAAATTTATTAAACCCAGGGTTGAGGTATAACTTAGGTAGGTCAAGACAGATCGTGGACGGCTTTATTGGATGATTGTTGGGTGGTCGTTTAGTTAATCGTTCACAATCGCCATTAGCTTGTTATCCCTAAGAGAAAAATTGTCGCAGGGATTGTGAATATGGTCAAGGAAACCGTCATCACCCTCCAGCTTGTATGAGAGATAAATGCGTTACAAAGGTTCCCCCTACTGGTTTAGGATACGGGATAGAAGAAGGGATTAAGTCTATAAGAGGGAGTAGACGATACGATTTGTTGTATTGACAAACAGAAAGAACACCCTTCACTATGCTAAAAATGAACTGTGCCGCTGCCATCTGTCTCGTTTTCCTCTTTGCATTCTCAAAGGTGAGTCGCAGCGTAAAGAACTTATAACTACAGTATTTTATTAAAGTTAAGATTTTTACTTATTATTTTTGCTAATTTATTTGGTAAAAATAGCAAATTCTAGTTATTTGTAAAAGTTAGTGTATTCTCATTTTTTCCACAGAAATCACTGGAGAGTTTCCTATTTTTTAACATTTAGATTTTGTTTTATTTCAAAATATCAATTTTCTTTTTCTCATTTGCACATGGGTTAAAATTAAATTAGAAGACTATAATTTAGATTTACAGAACCTGGTATATAATTTTTTTTTTCAACGATTATCAACCCAATCAACTTTTTTTTTGTATTGCAACTGGTTTGCTCTACATATATATTTTTACATTTATTCTCTTCCTTGAGAGTAAAATGTATTCAAAAATTAAACACATTTCAGGGAGCAGAAGTTCCAACCACAACAGAAGGGGCTGGCATGACCACCTCTGGGGTTGAAAAATCGACCACTGCATCAGGATCGACTGTCAAGGGGGAAGAGGATGTCAGACAAGAAATTAAAGCCCAGCTGCATGCTTTGAGCGAAGGCTGCAAGACCAAAACTGAAATATCAGCAGGTATGTAATTTAAATTTTTAAAACTAGGATCATGGTCAATCATGAATCAATCTGCTGCGGAAAGATTGTCTCTGTTTTCATTTGCTATTATTGAATTTCCAAAAAAAATGTATAAAGAATTAAAATGATAGTGACAAGTATATTAGCCCTGTTTTACTGTACTCAACTTCATTTTTGTCTTAATAGAGGCTGCTCAGATTTCAATAAACCAGCAAATTCCCAAAACCGAGCCGGAAAAGGTAAACCATAGTTTAATTTACAACGCGACTATAAATAACGAGTAAATTTTCCAGTGTTATTTGGAATGCATTTACAACGGAATGGGATTGGCTAAGGACGGGCAGTTCAATGAAAAAGGCGCCAGAGTTTTGGCGCAGAAAAGATTCGCCGAATCATCGGAAGAACTGTCAAAAGCTAATCTCATGATCGAAGCTTGCTCAAAAGAAGGTGAAAATTCCCTCTCACCCCAAAAAGTCAAAGAAAATTGTTTATACAACTTACGATAATTTTTATTTTATTTTTAGCTGTTGTCAAAGATACAACTGAAAAATGTGCAATTGGCCGAATGATTAGAGAATGTTTCGTTAAGAATGGCGCTAAGGTAGAAGAAATTTTTTTTTTTTCATCGTTCTGTTCTTAAAATAATGTTCTGTGTTTATTTTCAGATCAACTTCTTTCCAAAGCCCTAATTTCCAGGGATATCTATCTTAGAATCAAGGCTGAAAAAGAAAAAAATTAATTTTTAATTGGAATATTTATGTTTAATTAAAACTTTCATAAAGAATGTGTGTTTTATTTTACAAACCTATGTATTCTATGCTAAAGTAGCATAGATATACCTCTTATAATAAGGGGTCGGAATCAGTTGAGATCATTAGTCTGATTCTCTTAAACCAATGTAAAATTTACAGCTTAAAATGTTTAGTTTAAAGGTTTATTAAAGTACAAAACTGACAAAAGTCCCATAAAACAGAAAATTCTTATTAATAATAATGGTAATTCTCTTGCATGTCACGAGCACAATTAGTAGGTGGACCCCAAAAAATTTAAACCGCAGAAGCATCATACTAAATCGACTCAGAATTGGCCATACATGGTTCAAACACGGACACTTACTTTTGAGCATAAGATTGCTTATGTACCCAGCATGTAGAGAAAGGTTGTTCAATGTGTCCCACATAATTGAAGGGGGTTATTTCTTGGCTCCATATAAGGAGCAAGTAGGAATGCCACCTGATATAAGAATTGTGCTCAAGCATGGTAGCAAATCTTTGGGTCCCCTATTCCGATTTCTACTAAATTTTGTGAGATATTTTAACTGTTTTGAGAATGTATTTATATGTGTGAATGTTGTCGAAGACGGAATATCAAGTAAATTGACCCTCAATTAGACTAGGTATTGAAAGTATAATTGTCTATGGGCATGGTAAAGGATGACGGATCCAGTACTCTATCACTCTACTAGAGTGAAAGGTATGTAAATAAGGAGTGATAAAGTGAGTGTGTTTATGTTAAAAACTGTATACTTTGGGGTGAAATGACCTTGTGTCGATAGCCCCTTGAGCCTAACTTTGATGGTGTTATTGGTAAGAGCAAGGTCCACCGTCCAAAAAGTTGAGAAATTCATTGTTAAATAGTGAGGCTTTTAGCTAAGTTCTTGATTTCTTGGTAAAATTGCTCATCTCAAGCATTCAATCTGATATGCTGTTGAAGCTCCTTTCATACATCTTTTAATAATAAAATCTACATTCGAAACCAAACAATCCACGTCATCAACATTCCATTTGTATTACATACGTACATTATTAAGTCCCGATAGAAAAACTTCCAAAAAACTTTAACTTCACCCAATCTATTTGTCCAACAACTTTATTGTCCCGACATTCTTAGAAATCCCACAAGCTGTTTGGTTGTCTCAAAGTGAGACCACTGCTGGACGACTTCTTTTGTCATGTGTGTCCATAATCTCATCTGCTTGTTGCGACTACAAATCACAGTTGTAAAAATCATTATAAAAAAATTTTTAAAAAAAATTGTTCATAGTCTTGAAATAAATAATTTATTTAATAATAAATATTAAATTTAGGAAGAATTGAAATTTTAAACAAATTCGCTACAACAAAATAAATTCAGTGGAAATAAAATATAAAACAATCAAATTAGGCAATTTTGAATATTTTTTATTATCACAATAAGTTACTAAAGATGTAAATAAACCAGCAGAATCTCTAAAAACTCTCATGTACATAATAATATAACATCAATTTTTAGGAAAAAGAACACTTTGTATTTCAGATGTTTTTAGATTTAAAACAATATTTAAATACATTGAACAGTTCTATCCACAACTTATCTTACACAATAAACAATTTAATTTCATAATTATTTACAAATTTACAATATTAGCTAACAAAATGTGCTCAACTTGCATATTATTATAAACAATTTAAAAAATACTTTTTTTTATTGTATGAATACATAAAAAAAACCGAAATAATGGACAACTAAACATTCTAGTACATTAAATGGTTTAGACAATACTAATAAAATTGTAACATTTCTAAAGTACAGTATTACATAAACTAAGTACAAAAAATATGTGCCAGAAATATATAACACATATGATCTTTTATATACAGTTACAGAAATTAAGTAGGTTTTTCCTAACCGTAACCAAATTTAACAAGGCGAGTATAATAATTTAAACAAAATTGTTTAAAATAATTCTCAAACTTTCATTTTTAATTTAAATTTTCATTCTAATAAATAAATCTTTTAAAAAAATTAAAAACAGTCAATTTGAATTTTTTTCTAAACAGATAAGAACATTTATAAATTATAAATGGTAAAAGAAGTAAGGTTTAAAGTGCAAAATTGACAGAGAACAGTGGATAAAGTTTTCAGTCTGTAAACTTGGTTTTATACAAGTGACTCTTTTTGTCAAAATTTCAGTCTCGTCGACTTTTTCAAAAGTTGTCGCTTTCGAACTTCTTCCTGACTCGGTTGAGGTACAGGGGCCCGTGATCGACTCAACTTTCGTCTCCATAATAAGACAAGTACGATAACCAACAACAACACAACAACGGCTCCAATTATACTGATGATCCAGCGTGAGGTTGCAATTTGCTGATATGCAAGTTGGCACGATGAGAACGCTTCATTTACAAGTGAACTTGTATTTGTGAAACACTCAGTTTCATCTAAAAATAAAAAACAAAGAGTCTATTATATTATTGTATTAAATTAAATTGCTTCAATGGTACAAATAATCAAAGAAATTCAATATATTTGTGCCAATTTTAGTTTCAATTCAAAATTAATTATTGCCAAATACTCAATTTAGAGTAGGAATTTCAAACTATAATATGTGAAAGTGTGCGTGTGCATGTGCACATGTGTGAGAGAGTGAATGGTGAAAAAGAACTAATAATACTACAAATGAATTCACTTACTTGCTACTGAACAATTCAGCAAGGGAATCATATAAATTGAATTGTTTATAGCCCAAGAGTGTACACGAACACATTCACATGATGAAGTGTATTTTGAATTGAGAAGAGAGGTCGGAATCTCAAGAGTTTCAAGATGACAGAAGGCTGCAAGTTGTTCCACAAAAAGGCTTTCGATTGCGTTCCCAGTAAGATTGATTTGCAGCAGTTGTGGCAGAATCCCGAGGTAAGGCAAGGAATTCAGTTCACAATTCGCCAATGAAACATACTGAAAATTAAACAAAAAATTAATAATTAAATAAAAATAAATGTTAAACAAATAGTATTCGACGAATTGAAGTTTTACCTCAAGTGACACAGCATTTTGAAGAGGTACTGTCTGTAAAGGGTTTTCAGACAGATACAACCTTCTTAAAGAAGTAGGCAATAATGGTGGTAAATCCCGAATAGCGTTTAATGTGAGATCTAGAGCCTCGAGATCCTGCAGCGGGGAAAATGCACCTGCCTCGATGGAAGTAATAGCGTTATCTGATAAGTACAAGAATTTAAGAGATGTCAAATGCACAAAGCTGTCATTTTTCAATTTTCTTATCCTATTTGTAGAAGCATCGAGCACCTGCAAAATAATGTAAATTATGTTTTCACAGTACATAGTAAATAAGATCAAAGGTTTGAGTACATTTAAGAAAGGAAATAATATTTTAAAAAAAGGCTTACTACACCAACAAAACATTAACCAGTTGAGCAATATTATGAGATGATCAACCTGTAGTTTGATTGTCTAGGCTAAGCAGATCGGGATGAAACACTGCTTGACTTTTTTTGACTTGCAAAATTCTATATATTTATGGTCATGCAGTAGCCAAGTGATTGTTAGTCAGGCATATTTGTCATGATAGCAGTCTCTGCTTTTGAATTTCGGCAGAGCCCTTTGATTTTTATTTGAGAAAAATTTGGAAAAAAGTATTTATAGTTGTTCCTAGGGATGTTGGTGGTCACAACAGTTAAGGAGTTGAGACGACGCTCATCACTATGAAGTAAAGGTCCCCCGTACCCAACTGCCCTGAGTTCAAACCCAACATATATACGAATGGACTATTTTTTCTTCAAAAATACTGTCCATATAACCTCATAATTAAAATACTCTAATTAAAAAACAAAAAAAGTTTTATAAGCTGGAGGAAGACAAAGCAATTCTCCCATACATTGTTTTCATTTGAAACAGGAAATATTGAGGTTATTTTGTTTTAACGGCTGAACATAAAATCCCGCAATGCATTTTGCCAAACAATAAATGGATCATCAGACACGGGTAAAGGATTTAAATGTGAGAGTTCTTGTTAAGTTTTTTTTGTTAAATTATGAAATTGTTTATTCAATGAGTTATTTTTATGTTCTGAGATCTCTAGCCAGGTCGTTAGATTTCTAACAAATTTGTGGGATTTTTTAATTAAATTGTGAGATTTCTTATTATACAATGAGTTCTTTTTAAGTTGTGAGATTTCTAACAATTTTATTCTATTTTTATTTTCTATTCTATTCTAACACTGAGATTTCTTGTTAAATTATGATATTTCTGATTTACAATATTTTTTGAACAAATCTTTGCCAGAAATAATAGTTTCATCTACTTTCAGCTGATCCTGATTACATATCTCTATAGCGATAGAAAACGATAATTTCTTCTACTTTTGAATTATTCCTCCTGTTCAAAATATGGAAATTTTTTCGAAAGTCTTTTTTTTTCTAATTTCCTAAAAAATTTATCAAATTCGACTACTTTCAACTGATCCCAATCACATATCTCTACAGCGATGGAAAACAATTTCTTGTACTTTTGACCTATCGAATTATTCCTCCTGTTCAAAATATGGACATTTTTCTTCTACTTTCCTAGAAAACTTGTCAAACTCAGCCGTTCTTTCTTCTTTGTTATTTCTTCTACTTTCAGTTGACCCCGATCAAATAACTCTATAGTGACGGAAAACTTAATGTTATTTTCTTGGTAAATTGTGAGATTTCTGAACAAGTTCGATATTTCTCCTAAGTTGTGATATTTCTTATTAATTTCTTTAAATAAGGACATATATCTTTTAATCTCATACATTCTTACATTGTTACTGACAACTTTTTAAATGGTGTGAAAATAACCACTTATTAAACTTATTTTAGCAACTTATTAAAAGGATATCAGTTGTATAATATCTGCTAAAATCAAATATTTTTCCAAGTTATTGAAATTACTATATAAATTTTTATTACATTTAATTTTAGTTACAAACTTGGCATTATTCACCATGATTAATATCAAATATACTTATAGTTTTTTTTAAATTTATTTTTAGCTGGTTTATTTACTTATAATATAATGTATTTCGTATATTTTTTGGAGTTTTCTAGCTGTTTATTGTCGACTGATGAGGTTTATTAAAATAACATTCACTGATTAACATTTTTATTCTTGGCCTTTTTCAGGCTTTACTGTTGCTCCTCAGCAAACTATATTATAAACAATCAAATAACATGATATATAAATAATTGATTATAATATGACAAAATCATTTACTTTATACAAACTCTTAAAAAAACGTTGTAAAACAACTGAAACGGTACATTTCATGTTAATCTTTGCATAAGGACCAATGCTTATTAAAAGTAATGCTAATTTATATAGTAATTTTAATAATTTGGGAAAAAAATGATAGCAGATATAATAAAACAGATTACTTTTTTTTAATCAGATGCAAACACTCTGGAATATTTCCAAACCATATAAAAAGAATTTCTTAATATGTTATGTGATTTCTTGTTAAATTGTGATTCTTCCTTTTAAACTGTGAGATTTATTTTACATAGTGAGATGAATTATAGTGTGACATTCAACAGGAAGTTGGACGTTAAGCCCTCCTGTATGGCAGGAACTACTTTACTTTTTTAAACTTTATAAACAAGTTTGGGCCTAGTTCATACTGCTGGAAAATTTGGATATACACGATTGGAATAATATCTCAAACTTTATAGTTTGTGAGGTTTAAAGAATAAAAAAATTGTATACTTGTTAATAATTATAATTCTATGTAGAACAATTTTTCTGTTCGAGCATTGTGAGATTTTGATTGATCTGATTTTCACTAACTGAAGTTAAAGGGCCGAAACATGCGTGAAAGACTAAAGCAGAAAAGAAATCAGGCCAGGATGATCAGAGATGACCAATCTATTTATATTTCATAATATGCATAATTTATTAAATACAGTTATTAATATATTTTAATGAAGTCACAATAGCTCAAGTAGTTAGAGCAGTGGTAAATTGAGACGAAGGTCGTGGATTTGAATCCCACTCGTGATGCTAACTTTTTCATCTCTACCAAAAAAATTATATAAAAAGAGAAATTAAAATAGTCAATTATGACTTCTAAGCAAATATCGATTAATATATTTTAATATTAAAGCTTGTATTGAAGTTTAAAACCTTGTGACTGTTTTATATTTATGTGAAACTAGGGTTTTTATGTATTTAACACCAAATTCTTTTTTTAATTAAACGAACATCCATTATCTACATTCGAATTCTATGAGAGTTTCTAATTTATAAAGTTGTACTGGCCTCCCCTCGGGTCCGCCTAGGCTCGCTGTTATCCCGATATTCAGTTCGAGTTTGAACGGTACAACGGATAGATGGCGAGCCTGTGCTTCCAGAGAGTTCAAGACCCTTTTTTCCCCCCAAAAATACTGCCTTCCTCGGATCGGCTATCAAATTTGTTTTCTGCGGTAGTGGTTTTAATTCATGCCTGTTGCGCAAAAACCGAACCCATTTCTAAAATTGTGACTACAAATTTATATTAGAAATTTATCTGGATGTTCTGTACTCTGGCCTATCCTCAGAAAAGTAAATCAGCGATATTGTAAATTTTCAGGGTTGAAAAATGTAAGCATAAGGCATGTATGCATAAGGCATGGAATGTTTTATCATTCAACTACTAAAAAATACTATATCCTGGTCCTAAAGTTTTTTAAGAATAAATTATATTAGATTATTTAAATACACTTCTCATTCGCCATTTTTAAAAGACAAGGAAGTCAAAGTTTTTTTTCGTTTAAACTTAACAAAACTTTCAAATTTTCATATTGATCACAGTCATTACCAGTGAGAGGGAAAGAAAAAAAATTGGCGATAGGCGAGACAAAATAGAAAGTAAAGAAAGAGCGAGAAATTGAGATAAGGGCGTTGACCTGAATGGCATATTCTGGGACAAGCGAAAGAATCGTTGAAAACGTTTTATTTCCCTTCACTACCTGAGAAGGGATGACCGGTTCTAGTTGGGAGCTGAGGGTGGATTTCCATCTGCAAAGTGAAATTAATCCTGAGGTATTCTTTTCCGTCCGTACCGACTCTGAAAGATTTCGATTTGACCTGTTTCAGGCCCATTCGTACGACATTGCACGTTCGACCTGAATTCCCCGGATGGTCTACCACATAGAACCCACTTGGAAAGATAATTTTTCAAAATTTTGACCTCCGCTTATATCAAAATCCTTAAGGCCAGAGAGATCGCTGTGTATGACACACGGACTTCTCAGAAAGGCATGATATCATATCCGAAAGATTTGGCCATTTCTTGAACTCAAACTGTATTTTGTTATTTATCGTGATACTCACTTCAATGTCACTCGTTAAGTAAGGTATGCTGACTAATTTAAGATCACTGCAGTCTGCGCTTTTCATCCTCCTCGTTAATTTTTTGGTGCATTTTGCCTGGACAGGGTTGGCTGCCGAGTCGGTCGTGTGCATCATAATCAGAGGGATGAGGGATAAACCTATAAAAAAAAATTAAAAACTTATGAGTCATTGACATTGACAAACCTCCAGCATTCCAGGAGAATCAACAGAAAAGAAGCTGGTTTATCTAGCTCGTTTTGGTTGAAAAGCATCAAATAAACAATATTATACTTTTAAAAAATGTATCTATACATAGATAGAAATAAATATTTTACAACTTTGTGCACATAATGAAACATATTTATAAAAATATATACAACATGGAATTAAATCCGTCTATCGTCGGAGATCATTGTGAATTGTCACACATAATTGTAAATTAAAAATTAAAATTAGAACTCTGGGTGAACATGCAATAATTGTAGAATATATTTTAAAAAAAAGTAAATGCACAGAAAAAGAATGAGGCCATCCAGATCATAATTTTTTCTATGATTGTAGTATTTAATGAAGTAAAGGTGTATACGAAATTAAAAATTAAATTCCTGGACTAAATGGAATCTATACTTCCAGGAGTGGCAAGCATATCGTAGGGTCTGATCCATTCAACAGTTCAATGATTTGGACTCTTCAAGGAGTGAATGACCCGAGGTGTAAAAAGACGAATCTCTCTTAAAATCGAACACTCAGCTAGGAAGTGAAGAACTGTCTCAATTGACTGCGAGTTGCAAAGTGAATCTATATATATAGTTTATTTTTATTTAGTCCGTGTTCATGACGGGTATTGTCAGAGGATATTTTCAAATTGTTTATGTTTTGTGAAGACTGTGGGCGTGATCGCAAGCGGAAGAGGTGTACACAACGGTGGAATGGCTATTTCCGCCGGGGTTGATTAAGTCCGTTCCAGAGCAAACCACCCACTTCCATTGATAAATTCATATTTGTAGCTGGGCTCGATGAGCAGATTTCATACATGTTGCACCGAAAACCGAACTCATATTGCTTGATTGTCTGTGATTTTAAATGTGGGAGTCCGAGGGGAAGAGAAAATACAGAACAAAAGAACAACGAAAACAGAGAGCAAAAGAGTGGGGCAAAAGAGAGAGGAAGCAAAAAGGAGGTAAAAGAGACGGGGCGCAAAGGAAGGAGTTAAAATAGGGGAAAAAGATATCGCAAAAAAGAGAGAGTGAGATAGTAGTAAAACGTAAAGAGAAAGGAAAAGCAAAAGAGAGAGAGAGAGAGAGAGAGAGAGAGAGAGAGAGAGAGAGAGAGAGAGAGAGAAAAAGAGAACAACGAAAAGAGGGAGTGTGATAGTGGGAAAAAGAGAAAGAAAGAGGAAGGAAATAGCAAAAGGGAGGGAGAGGGAGAAAACGTGCGAGTGACATAAAGTTAGAGGCAGAAAGAAAAATAACATGAAAACCGGGAACATCTAACGACAAAAATGAGAGAGAGAGAGAGAGAGAGAGATTTTGAGTAAGAAAAGAGCCAGAGAGTAGGAGTGAGAGAAAGAAGCATTTTCTGCATAAACAGAAAGAAGATGAGCGACAAACCGAGCAAGGAAGAGAGAAAAAAGGAGGCACAAAGATTATGAAAGACAGAAAATGCCAGACAGAGAGTGAAAGAATTTGAACGTCAGGGATAGAAAGAATGTGTAACAGGGTGAGAAGGAATGTCAAAGAGAAAGAAGAGAAAGAGAGAGAGAATGAGAAAGTCAAAGAGAGAAAGAATGTGAAATTCAAAGAGGAACGTCAAAGAGAGAAAGAATGTGTAAGATAGAGAGAAAGAATGTGAAAAACAGTGATAAAAAAGTAAAACAGAGAGTTAAAGAATGTGAAAGACTGACAGAAAAATATGCAAAACAGAAATAGAAAAAATGTGAAAGATAGAGAGAGAAAGAATGTGAAAGACAGTGATACAAAAAGTGAAACACAGAGAGTTAAAGAATGTGAAAGACTGAGAGAAAAATATGAAAAATAGAAATAGGAAAAATGTTAAAGATAGAGAGGGAAAGAATGTGAAAGAAAGTGATAAAAAAAGTGAAACACAGAGAGTTAAAGAATGTGAGAGACTGAGAGGAAAATATGAAAATAGAGATAGAAAAAATTTGAAAGACACTGATAAGAAAAAGTGAAACACTGAGAGTTAAAGAATGTGAAAGACTGAGAGGAAAATATGAAAAATAGAGATAGACAAAATGTGAAAGACAGTGATAAGAAAAAGTGAAACACAGAGAGTTAAAGAATGTGAAAGACCTAGAGGAAAATATGAAAAACAGAGATAGATGAAATGTGAAAGGTAGAGAAAGAATGTGAAAAGCAGTGAGAGAAAGTATGAAAGATGTGAAGCAGAGGAGAGGGTTCAAATTCTTTATTTGCACTGTTTTTAAAATGGACCTTTAAAAATGTTCAAATAAATGTAATTTCCCTGCTTGAAGAGCCTGCATCAATAGCAATGATTGATCAATTTTAAAAATAATTTAAACAAATTTAACATGCATCTTTTTCATGTTGTCTCTTTCAGGATAGCTGGTTGTCCGTTAGAGATGAGTACAAGTCCGTTTTTCTACCTTTGTTTTATGTACTTCAAAACGTAGTTGATTCGAAAACGCTTTCTAAGACAGTTCGAAGTAGGGGATTGTACTGTGAAGTCAAGAAAGTCAACTGATACATTTACACATTGAAAGTGAAAGGTGTTTCTTTTTTTCTGGCAAGTCAGGAGTAATCTTTTGAGTTACGACTGATAACTTCTTTGGCAGTATTGCTGTTAATTAATTCTAGATGTAGGTTTGTTGCCCTTCAGCATAAACTTCAAGATCTCCAGGTTTTGTCCGTCGATTTCGTTTACTGTATAACTAACTGCAGCTATAAGAAAAAAACAATTGATGTTCTAGACCTAGTAATCATTAGCAGATGTGATCATGTGTTATCAACCTTGTAGCTAAGAATGGTAAACTCGATGCCAAACATTTGAAATCGAGGCCATATTATACGAACTTTTATTACATTTGATGATTGTAACAGTAATTTCAATTATTTAATTACGCTCCTGGTATCGAGACTTGCGTACTAACTTTATTTTAAATATGCCTTAAGATTAGATACGTCAATACAAATGCTTAATGTTTAAAAAATATAAAGACGTTTATATCAAAGTCCTCAAGAGGAAAAAAGTACACGAAGATCTATTAACCTACATGAACCTAGTTGTGCTTAGTTTGACTTCGTCGAAAAAAATCCTTCCCAAACCAAAAGAAAATTAAAGAAAGTTTGCTTATAACTTATATGAAATGGGCAAAAACAAACCTAATCTTAGTGAACTATCGTCAAAAATAATACACCTATTGTACTGTAGCATGACCTATTGTAGTATGATTATCAGATAATCTATTAAAAAAAACCTAGATAGATTGAAAACGATAATGAAATAACAATAGAATTTTCTGTTAAATCATGTTTCTATAAAATAAATGATGAACAGGAATCTTTTAGCAGCGTTGCCGATTCACGCAAGTTATTTCCACCGCTAAGCAATTTTCTCCAGTATCTTAAAAGCGTCACGTTTAAAGTAAATTGCGCCTAAACAACAGAAAGAAGAATGCAGAAAAGCGTATTAAAAAAGGAAATCTCTGATGAGTTTAAAAAAAGAAACTTTTATCGTGCAGTTTTAATCTCCAAGATTTACAAAAGTTTTCATAATTCCTTCAATTCGCGTTTTATGACTTGCGAGGCCCCCCCTTGAGGTCGAAGTGTCGCAGCTGTCTCAGGCTACAGAAATATCCTCAGGCCACTACAGCAAAAAGAGACCGTGCATTGTGAAATTTCTAACAAATTTGTGGGATTTCTTGTTAAATTGTGATTTTTTTGTTAGATTGTAAGATTTCTTATTAAGTATTGAGATTTCTTGTTAAGTTGTGAGAGCTCTTGCTAAAAATTGAGATATTTCTTATTTATTTGTAGATTATAAAAAATAAGTCTGCGAGTAAGAACCGTCTTTTACAAAACTTGAAAAAATGTATTTATTGTTAAATTGTGATATTTCTGAAAAAGTTATGGGATTTCTTGTAAAATTATAATGTTTCTTAATAATTGTGATATTTTTTGTTGAATTGTAAGATTTCTTATTAAGTTTTGAGATTTCTTATTAAGTTGTGAGAGTTCTTGTTAAATTGTGATATTTCTTATTTACTTGTAGATTATAAAAATAAACCTGCGAGTAAGAACCGTCCTTTTTTACAAAACTTGAAAAAATATAGTATTCATTGTAAAATTGTGATATTTCTTAGAAAGTTATGAACAAATTTCTTGTTAAATTGTAATATTTCTTAAGAATTATGAGGTTTTTTGTTGCATAGTGACATTTCTTGTTAAATCGAGAGATGCTCGCCAAACTGTATCTTGAGAGCTTTCTTGACAAAACCGTGTATTTTCTTGTTAATGCGTGAGATTTCTTACTCTGTGAGGTTTCGTTATTTTGTGAGATTCCTAGACATATATTTTCTTCTGTTATGTTCTGTTCTTGTTGTACTATGAGATATCTACCGAGAAACCTCACAATTTCTTTCATAAAGTTTTTCTCGTGAAATGAACAACTGATCATTAACTATGAACTTCTCTATTTACGAAGATTAGGATGCCAAACAAAAACCGAAACTGTCCTGACCTATGAGCCTATTGAATGATGTCACGTTCCATTCTTGTCCAATTTGTCTCCCTCCAAACTCCCCTTAATTTTTTTAAACCCGATATTTGTAAGCCATTCTGTAGAAATTTTAGTCACTTTTCTATTCATAACTATAAAATTTTCATACGAAAATTAGCGCGAAAGTGCCAATAATTAATCCAAGATGATACATTGTTCGACTGAAGTTTCACTTTTTGTACAATTAGTGTCAAATCCGTTATGAAACTTCAACTCAGCGTTTCTATTTTCTATTTATTTTTATAGCTCTAGATATCCGTTTTAAGAGGAAAGTCGAAGGCGCCGTTTTTATTATTTAACAATCGGTTTAATTAGAGCAAAACCTTGGGCACAAAATAAAAAAAATACTAGGTGGTCCAAATGAAATTGAAAAATGGCAGGAAGTTATCAATATTAATCG